GACTCTGCTATTTTTGTCACCTTCTGCAGCACCACACCTCGTGTTAGGAACAGCGTTTCAGCAGGTAACACACAACACAAACGTCATCTGCCAAGAGCAGCATGGCACTGAGCCGCATGCTCCCCTCACCTCTGCCAAGTATGTTTTCTTTGGTTCTGTGAACCGAAGTGGAGGCTGAGGATGTGATGAGCAGTAGGTCATTCACTAAATGTAAGATTTCTAAGAGTGCTCTAGTTACTTAGAAAATTCAATCGATGAACTTGGGCTTAAAAGTGCTCTAGATATTCCTCAAAAATGCTACTTGGAATTTTTCTATTTTGAAACTTTGATATTGAAGAGTACACATGAGATCAGAACTTAATTAAAACAATATCAAGTAATAAAAAATAGTTCTTTATAAAAGCTTTGTAATCTTAATTCCCTAATTGCACAAATGTTAGCAAAGTGTCCCGAGGTTGATGAAGATGCTAATATAATTGTGGAACCTGCTTTCGTATGCCTCAGATTCATACTATCTAACTCTCTGAAAGAAAGTTTTGAGGTCTAAAAAATAGAGATGAAAAGTGGTTTGAAACCAAGTCAGCAATGTAGGAGATAGACAGCTGCTACTTCGCCACATCTTTTCATGTAGCGATCTTGACAAAAAGTAATTTCTTGTATCATTACATAAATCTGGGAACCTTTCTTATACTTATGCTCACAACATACCAATGAGGAAAGTGTGTGTTATCTACATGTTACAAATGGGAAAAGAGCAATCAAAAGATTTGCCTAAGATCCCTAAGAAGTCTGGTACAGAAGGGAACTGAATCTAATCTCTTGTATCTCAGGCTAACACTTTAAGCACTGGCTGTACTTTGCTGCTGGGAAGTCTTTGATTAATGTTTATCATGATTTCATCCTCTACCATCCTTTTTTATTGTTTTTATATTTCTTTATCTGACTGTTCTAATTGCTGTGGTTTGATATTTGTCTTAAGTGAGAGACAGCAAACTGTGTATACAATTTCTTAGCAATGAAGTATTTTTCTCATCTATACCTACTTCTATGATAGAATCTCGGGGTTTAGAATTAATACTCACTCCCCAAGTTACCCCTACAGAGAAGAAAATAGTCTGACTTTGTTGAGCGGTCCAAGAAATGGTACGAGAAGATTTCAGGCTGAATTTCTCATGACTGCCATTTAAAGTGGCTGTTCTTAAGAATTTAAATTCACACAATTCTGCTTGTGTTTTCAGAAATGCTGCATACCTGCAGCTCCCAGAATTCATCAAGAATCACAAGTGTTTAGCAGCTCTCACAATAACAAGCCCCAGCTCTGACACGCCAAGGTTGATTTCAAAACAGGAAATTAAGTGCAGGAGCTGAGGCTCTTCCTTCTGTGCAGTAACCCTTGGTCAGCATACACTTTTACCTGAGCATGATGCAATAGCAGTTCTTTATGCCCTCTTTGCTGAAAATACATCAAAAATATCAGCTTATTTCTGAAACAACAGGGGAAACCGGTGCGTCTGTATAGAGATGATGATAATTCTGTGCCACAACTGAGCCTTGAAGCTGTGTATGCTCTCTCTACATGCTGGAAAAAAAGAGTACTGGAAGAGTAACTGATTTTACTCTTCAAGCAGGATCCATCAGGAAAAAAAACAGGGATTTGCATCAGATTCCTGCTTCCATACTTGAAGCGCAAGACCTTGTTTACTGTGAAATGGAAGAGTTGGGCTTTTCTTCAGCTGTCCCTGCACTCTGTCTAAAAGTGCACCTTACCAAGCTGCAGACAACATATAATATGACTCAGAAAAAATGACAAGTGACACGCAGGTTTGCTAAGTATTGAGGAAGATTAATGTTTGCTTGCCATGACCTACAACATGGCCTTGAGACAAGGATATCTATTTGTCCAGTCTTTCGGCCAGTATCGTGAGGCCTGCAAACAGGAACATTCAGGAAAGGGAGTAATACAAATAAGGAGTCTATTTATCCAATTTATGTTTTAATTAATGTGGATTAAAGTCTTCCTCTTTGGAGAGGAAGACTGAAATGGGATGTATGATCTTCTTCCAAGATTTTTTCTAAGTTGTTTTCAAAACAGTAAGCTCTCTGCTCTTCCTCCCCCCACACTCTTTGAGGAATATTTGCACTACAGGTTTGTAGTTGTCTGATGTCCTCACCATGCTGTCATTGCTCTCACCAGCACCATAAAGGCAAGACAATCATCAGGCTATTGATATTCCCACCCATTCTTCACTGTCCTGCAGCTGTGGACACAACTGACATTATACCAGAAAAATAAAAAAAATAAATAAACTAACCCTGAGTTTAAGGATCTGCAGTAGACTCTCCACATAATGTTGTTATACAGCCTCTCCAACTCAGATCCTGAGATGTATTTGACTTCAAAACACAAAGGCCCTTCCAAAAGAATATCCCTAGATGTAAAGATGTCACTGAGAGTTGGTACCTAGGCACCTGTCAGGTAACTTTATTTAGATAAAAAATGGCCATCGCATGTCTGTCTTACCTATTTGGATTACAGGTGTCGTAGGCAAAAGAAACGTGTCTGGCATGCTGCACTAGGGCAAGCAGAGGCTATTAGCTTGTTCGCATGACTACAATGCAAATTACCATCATATTAATAATGACAGGCTGGGAGGCATACAAAAAGAACAAAAAGAAAAGAAAGAATAATGAATTTCAAGGCCAGAATCTCTAACCCTCAGGTATTTTAATTCTAAACAGAGAGTTTCTAGGAGGCTTTTAGCTTTCAGAGAACAAAATACAAGTAGACGGAGAAAATTTTGAAGAGCTTTGACTGACCTACGCTGAAGCCCATGCCCTGAAAAGGAGAAAAACTCCAAACCCAAGAACACATCTCACACCACCCTTGAAGCTGACACCACCTGACACCAACACGTGCACTCCACAAGTCTCCCTACGTGCTCAGCATACACCTTGTGGAGATAGCTCCACAGAGACTGCCAAACCAGGAAGTTCAAAAATGCAACAAAATCCCTTATTGTTTTTGTCCCTGCAGCAACTATTCAGCTTCACACCATGTGCTAGGTAAATTATTGTCTTTTCAAATTTTAAGCTACCTAATTCAGGATGGAAAATCACTAACCAACAAATCATCCTTGTGGGAATGTTATTTATAGCCATCCTTTTTATGAATAAAAGGCCTCGTCATAAGTCAGCTGTCAGATTTCCCATTGTTATTGCTAGTCCTGATCCCGCATGTCCCTGCTCCAGGCAGCCAAGTGGCTCTGGAGTGGCAGAGCTTGCAGGATGCCTCAGTTTGCCTTGGCACCTAAGGGCATCCTGCAGTCCTCCTTGTGCCCAAACCATCATGAGGGCTGCAGCCTCGGCAGAGAGGCGCTGGACGGAGGAGA